GAGAGAGAGAGAGAGAGAGAGAGAGAGAGAGAGAGAGAGAGAGAGAGAGAGAGAGAGAGAGTTCCTTTCTTCTCGTCACACGCCCACGCAGGACATAATCCTTAAGGATGTTGTCTCCAAGGTGTGATTCGATCCCTAAGTACTTACGGACACTCTCGCTGTACGGCCCTGAGGTGCGTCTGTGAGAGGTGCGCCATGCTAAGGACCTGACGAAGCCCTTAGTACCAGTGTGGACGTTGTCGACACTCATGGAGCGCTGCACGGCGCCCCGCCACACGTCCTCTGCCCCGAGGCCGCCCGCGCCCGCCCGCGCGCCCACCGCCTCGCCGGTGCCGTCCACGCCCAGCTGCTCATGCTGCGAGTACAGCTTGGTGGTAATGTCCTTACCTGGAGGAGAAGCGGGGCACGCATCAGAGGAGCCGTTGAGGCGCCCACGGGTAACGTGGCAAGCTAAAGGAAAGACAGGATCGCAACCAAACCAACAACATTGACGAGTGTTTAAGGCCTATCGGTTCTAAAATAAAAACAATACATTCTGTAAAGTTGAAAAAATGACCTAATGAATTCATTTGAATCTAAGGAATCGGACAATGATAGATGACCGTCATTTAATGCCTTGGGAATCTATCTACCGGTGTAAAATTCTCGCGAGGAAGGGTCGCACTTGCCAACCACATGCGTCGCCTCATGAGCTGAAAGCGATATTCACTCACCTCGCACGTGGCATGTGGTATGCACTAACCTCCAAGGGTATGCGCACCATTGCTTACCTATTAGGTTGTGCATCACGGCGCGGAGGAAGGGCCGCAGGTGCAGCACGTGCCGCAGGCGGGGCCGCGACCAGCACAGGTACTCACTCGGCTCCTCAGCCACGATGGTCACCTGGCAAGTGCAGAGTGTACATTGCGTCACTCGTCTAATAGAAAACTGGTCATGAGGCAAAGCGAGAGTTCTGCTCACTGCATAGTCGCTCGTAAGCACAAAAGTCAAACTGAGATAAGACATCAAGAAAAGGGTGACAGGGTATGATAATACGATATAGAAGAAGCATAAATAACGAAGGTTGTGGCGAAGAGAGGAAAGTGGTCAGTGAGTGGAGCAAACGGAATGGAAAATGGACACATTAAAGCAAGGGAAGGAGCAAAATCGTAAAACGGAACGGGAGGAAAGTGGATGGGAACGAACCTGAAAGAGCTCGTCGGAGTCGTCGGCGCAGGCCTCCCACTCGGGCGAGTCGATGAAATGCGTCGGCAGAATGTTGTGCAGGTGGGTGTTGTCGCAGCTCACCCTCAGCCTGGGGAGCACGCGCGGAGGACGGTTCAGTTCCTTCTGCACATCGCTATACTTTTGCGAGGACTACCATCGTTTCAAGCTTTTCAGCAAAGTAATTCGACATAACGTAAATGAGGCACATATTTTTATTGTCGCAAGTGTTACGCCTGCATTTCTTCATGGAATGCCCTACTTCTGTTTGCATGTGTCTATGGGGGATGGGGTTAATATGTGCGTATTTTATGCCATGTTTTCTACGAACGCTTAAATTAAAACCCTTTGCGTGCCATCTAATATACAATATGAGCAAGGTTATGCATACAAAAAGCTTGTTACAGCTCACACATCGCTAAGAATGTATCATTAACAAATTACGTAGAGTAGCACATTATGTAGTAATGAAGTAATGCGGAGTGGTTGGGGTACATACACGTATATGGGAAGAGGGAAGAGGGAGAGAGGGAGAGAGGGGGGGAGGAAGAGAGGGAGGGGGAAGAGAGAGAGAAGAGGGAGGAAGAGAGGGAGAGAGGGAGGGAGGAAGAGAGGGAGAGACGGAGGGAGGAAGAGAGGGAGAGAAGGAGGGAGGAAGAGAGGGAGATGGAGAGGGAGGGGGAAGAGAGGGAGAGAGGAGGGAGAGAGAGGAGGGAGGAAGAGAGGGAGAGAGGGGAGGGGAAGAGAGGGAGGAGAGAGAGAGAGAGAGAGAGTGGAGGGAGAGAGGACAGGAGATGGAGAGGGAGATAATGATAAGGATAATGTTGATGATAACAATTATGATAACAGAAATAATAATGATAATAATAACGAAAATAATAATAATAATAATAATGACAAAAAATAATAACAGTAAAAACAACAAGAATGACAACACCAAACTAATAATAACAGTAGTAGTAATAATAGTAGCAATACAGGTGTTTACGCATTTTTTTCTACATTGACATTTCCCTCCCTATTATAAGCACTAACTTTTATTTTTTTTAAATCTAAAATCATCTCTCTACTTGAAAAATCACATTTTATCATAAGATCTTCCTGAATCTTTATACCATTTACTCACAAACAAATCTACTTTAACTCTACCGTTATCTACCCTAAATCTACACATAAAGTCCATGACGAAATTAATCTACCCTAAACTTTTAAGCTCATTTAACTTGGATCAACACCTGATCGAAGCAGCTTGTTTTTAGGGCACAGGCAACCCCGTCTTAAATCTTCTTAACGTTCT